AATTTCTTAAGGTGCATGGAACATTTTACCAATTTAGTGGTGTCAGTTAGTCACCGATATGTCACAGTAAGTACTAACCGTATATGTTTCACATACGTTCACGTATTTTGCACACAGGCGGTCAATCATTGTGAAAAGTTGTGTGAATATTAATTTTTATTGAGACGTTCCAAGTGCCTGTGCTTTCAACAGTCTTGTACGTCAATGCACGTGCGTCAAGAGCCACAAACTCAACACAATTTCATCTCTGTTATTGTTTACGCCTGAATGTGTGATTGATCAGGGAGGGGGTGCATGTAAGAGGGAGACATTTTCTTTGGGGTTCCGAAAAACACAATTCCACTTGACAATTTCATTAGCCATTTCAATTGGAAGCTCTGCATAATGAACAAGCCCTTTGACTGACTAGTCAAGAAATTCAAAGGTGTATATATTGCTCTTATTTAGCCGCCGATAGTTCTTATTGAGAACAAAGTCTTCATTGTTATCTTCTAAAACTACAGACCATCCGCTGACCGCTGTGGAGACGTGCGCCGGGCCTCGAATTTGACGCACGTCTCCCCTGCGGACAGCGCTTCATACTTGAACATTCCTGCGGTCGCGTGCGCATATCCCGCGGAACTGCGCGTCTCATCCGCGCGCAGCACTCAGGATCAACAGCAAAGCTGTGCCACGCAATCTTGTATCATGTCTCTCTGGATGGTAATTTTCCCTCTCATGCGATGTTTATCTAGCTAACACTAATCAAACGTGAGTTACTGTATCTGTCTTGCCCCATCTCCCAGCTCACCCATATCCTGAAGTGATTCTAGCAGATTAAGGGCTAATGAGTAACAGACCCTTCCTACATGTACAGCACACATGAGCCATATGTAGAACCCGTGCTATCCTGTAACCTTTGGCCATCTGCTTGATTGGGTCTCCGAACATTCTACAGTTCATTAATAAGTGAACTTGAGTGAGTGCTTGAGGAGTGCACGCCCACTAAGGCTGCAGTAACTGCAACCTGTCATGAGTTGCCATGTTCTTCAGTCCACGTAATCCGGCTATGGTGTACGGCTCCACTGTGCACAGAGTTATTTATCTGCTGTACGTGCAGTGATCATCACACGTGTGTCTTGTTAGTAGTGAATATTCTCGGAATGCGGCTGTGAATTCTATTGATGTTTCTCTGGTAAGGTTTTTAACGTTAAAATCGTTCATTAACGGTCAAAATAAGTGGAGTACAGTCTGCACTACTGCAGTAGTGCTTGTCACTAGTACAGAATGCTTGCCATCTCGGTCACAGACTACCGATTGCTAGTACAGATTGTGATTGCTGTTTGCCAGCTCAGTCATTGAGTACTGTTTACCATTCTAGTGCAGCCAGTGACTACCGTTGCCTTGCTAAACTGGTGCTAAGCAGTAGTAACTGAGTGTACATAAGCAGTTGTCACTGAGTGTACATAAGCAGTACTTAGTAGCTGAGTGAGTGTACATAAGCAGTAGTAGCTGAGTGAGTGTACATAAGCAGTTATCACTGAGTGTACATACGCAGTTGTCACTGAGTGTACATAAGCAGTACTTAGTAGCTGAGTGAGTGTACATAAGCAGTAGTAGCTGAGTGAGTGTACATAAGCAGTTATCACTGAGTGTACATACGCAGTTGTCACTGAGTGTACATAAGCAGTTGTCACTGAGTGTACATAAGCAGTTATCACTGAGTGTACATAAGCAGTTGTCACTGAGTGTACATAAGCAGTTGTCACTGAGTGTACATAAGCAGTTATCACTGAGTGTACATACGCAGTTGTCACTGAGGTGTTACATAAGCAGTTGTGGCACTGACTGTACATTAAGCAGTTTCACTGAGTGTATATAAGCAGTTGTCACTGAGTGTAATAAGCCAGTTGTCAACTGAGTTGTACATAAAGCATGGTTTGTACTGAGATGGTACATAAGCCAGTTGTCACTGAGGGTACATAAGCAGTTGTACTGAGTGTACATAAGCTAGTTGTCACTGAGTGTACGTAAGCAGTTGTCACTGGAGGTGTACATAAGACAGTTGTCACTGAGTGTAAATAAGCAGTTGTCACTGAGTGTACGTAAAGCAGTTGTCACTGAGTTGTACGTAAGCAGTTTGTCACTGAGTGACTAAAGCAGTTGTCACTGAGTGGCTGGTTTTTTTTTTTTTTTTTTTTTTTTTTTTTTTTTTTTTTTTTTTTTTTTTTTTTTTTTTTTTTCTTTTTTTTTTTTTTTTTGTTTTTTTTTTTTTTTTTTTTTTTTCTTTTTTTTTTTTTTTTTTTCTTTTTTTTTTTTTTTTTTTTTTTTTTTTTTTTTTTTTTTTTTTTTTTTTTTTTTTTTTTTTTTTTTGTTTTTTTTTTTTCTACATAAGCAAGTTGTCACTGAGTGGTACGGTAAGCAGTTGTCACTGAAGTGTACATACGCAGTTGTCACTGAGTGTACATAAGCAGTATCACTGAGTGCTACATTCAAGCGGTAGAAACTGAGTGTACATGAGCAGTTGAGCGATGTTGTCACTGACTGCTGTGTGTGTTTCTCTATCTACAATAGCATCCCTCCTACCTTCCTCTCACAAGATTAGGAGCAGGGGTACGCCGCGCTGCCGTGAGAAGCAGGAGGAGACAGAATCGCGTCAGGCTAGAGGAGCCTGCCCACAAGGACGCAGGAAGAACACATGCAGCTTATCAAGAAAAAGAGGTGAGCAGTGCTTGGACCCTGGTGTGCGATGGTGTAAGTTGGCAGTGTTTGCTCCCCCTTGGGTGTTATGTTGGGAGGCTTGGCCATTGTGTGCTCCCCCATGGTGTGTTGATGTTGAGGTGCAGTGGGCTCTCCCTGGTGTGTGATGTTGCGGAGGTAGGCAGTGTGCTACCCTGGTGTGTGATGTTGGAGGTTGGGCAGTGCTGACACCTGTGTGTGATGTTGGAGGTTTGGCAGTGTTGCTCCTCTTGGTGTGTGATGTTTGGGGAGCGTTTGCAGTGTGCTCCCCTGGTGTGTGATAGTGTAGGTTGGCAGTGTGCTCCCTCGCGGTGTGTGATGTCATTGGGAGGTTGGCAGTGTTGCTCCCCTGTGTGTGTGATTTGGGCAGGTGGCCAGTGCTGACACCTGGTGTGTGATGTTGGAGGTTGGCGAGTGTGCTCCCCCTGGGTGTGTGATGTTGGAGCGTGGCAGTGTTGTCCCCCTGGTGTGCCGATGGTGTAGGTTGCAGCTGTGCTCTCCTGGTGTGTGAGTGGAGGTTGGCAGTGTTGCTCCCCTGGTGTGTTGATGTGGAGGTTGGCAGTGTTGACCCTGTGTGCGATGCTGTACGTTGGCAGTGCTGACCCCTGGTGTGTGATGCTGTACGTTGGCAGTGCTGACCCCTGGTGTGTGATGCTGTACGTTGGCAGTGCTGACCCCTGGTGTGTGATGCTGTACGTTGGCAGTGCTGACCCTCTGGTGTTGCGATTGCTGTACGTTGCAGTGCCTGCACCGCCTGGATGTTTGTGATGCTGCTACGTGCAGTGCTGACCCCTGGTGTGTGATGCTGTATGTTGGCAGTGCTGACCGCTGGTGTGTGATGCTAGAGGGCGGCATAGCTGTTATATAGATCAGGTTGCAGAATGTAAGCAGTGCGTTACGATGAGCAGGAAATGAGTAGTGGTGGCTCCTGGTGCAGAATGCAATATTTGAGCAGTGCTGACCCCTGGTGGTGGATTCTGCAGGTAAACAATGCTGCCGTCTTGTGCAGGAAGCACGAAATACGTAGTGACGACCCCTTCGTATACGATTAGAATGTAAGCGGTGATTACTCCCTGTATTACGCCCTACGGGTTGTGCACTGTACATTCATAGCGTGTGACAGCCTGTAGTCACGCGACTGGTGCGTGCGTCTATGTAGCACGGTCTAATTGCACGACAGCGCATGGCAACGCCGCGGTCCGCGGGACGGCGGAGTGCAGCAGCTGACGTTCGCCTTGTTGTTTCAGGAGGATCGACGCAAGGCGGATAGACGGCATCGGCACCGCGGCACGAGCAGAGACGCCGGACGTCGAGGAGCGGCGAGAACGCATGCTGCGCGCCGAACGGGTACGTCGTCTGTCGTCCGCCGTCCGCGTCGGACTTCGTCTGTCTTCCACCGTGCGCGTCGGGACGCTGCACTGAGCGGTGCGGTGTCTGTCGTACACCCTCAGGGGTTAGGGTTGGGGTGGGGTGGTTTCTTCTGCTGTGTACATTGT